CCTTCTCCGTCTCTCCTTTATGCTGTTTCCTCTCTGACCCCTTTTGCCATTAACACTTTACTGAAGTTACTTAAACCTTTCATATATATTTTTTAACATTAGCAGACATATTCTCAAGGAGGTAAGCTTTCAGCCTTAAGTTTTGAGATTGAGTTATGTTTTTTAGATTCTAATTCTAATTAGTTAGGGTTCACTAAGTAGGAACTATGAAAAGTTATTTTAACATTAATTTTGTTTGTGGTTTCTACTTGCAGTATACTTCTGGTTTCAGATTCACACCCATATGATTTGAAGTAAGATGATTCATATACATGTGATTTTGTGCCTGATGTTTTTTAGTAGCTTCAGGAATAAAATCTGAAATAATTTTTCATGCTAGCACATATAATTTATTATCAACGCATTTATTTGAAGGAGAAACCCCGTCAAGAATATTTGTGTACCTACCATGTACAAAGTCTTGTGAAGATTAAAAATGTTTAATACGTAGTTTTGCTCACAAGGAATTTATAAACTAGGTGAGAGAGAGGATGAGATATAAATATATGCCAAATTAAATTGTAATCCCTTCTCTAAGTATCAATTCACGATTACTAGAAAAACCGAATGACAGATTAGTTTATGGCCAGTTGCCAGCTGACTGGTACAAAATGGAGCATATCAAATTAGAGGTTGAAAGAGACTCTCAGGATGGCAAAAATAAGTTGGTTTTGTCTGGGTTGGGCTTCTAGTGGCCCCAGCTGAAGGGTTTATAAGTGTTTTTGGTTTGATTATGCAGAGTTGAGCACTAAAAATAAGGCAGGCAACTTGTGGTTGATCAGGTGACAAGCTCTGTGTAGGTAGGTGGCAGCGTACAAAGGAATCAGCTTCCTCTCATGACTTCTTCTGTTCTAAGATGTAGTCCTTCTCTTTTTTCATGGTGGGTCAGCCCTTGCTCTTTTGGGTCTCTAGGAATACAGACCTACACTGTTCTTACTTCTCCCATCACTCAAAAAATTGCAGGATCTTTAGTAAGCTTTTCTGAGAGTTTTTACTATTTATCTCTTACTGAACTATAAGATGAAATTATGGAGCATGAAAAAGGTATAGGAGTTACCACATTAATATATGTACAATGGTAAAATAAACTGTATCTGTTTTTCATCAATATGCAAAATACTTGAACTGAAGAGTAATGTATTCAATCTTTGTGTTAGGAAAGTATTTGTGGTTGGAGGAGAAGAAGATTGGAGCACTTGTAGTGGGTATGGAAAAGGAAGTACAGATTTGAGAGAAATTGGGAAGTTGTAACTAGCAGGATGTGGTACTTGATTATGTTAGGGCAGGGGACATAAGGGGAAAACAGAGTTAAAAAATGATTCTGTGAATACCATTGACCAAGATATAGAACACAGTTGGAGAAATAGGCAGGGGCAGAAGAGTAGTGGAGATGAATTTTAGGAAATGTTGATTTTGCTGAAGATATATTCATGTAGAATTGAAACTTTAAATCTGTAGGTCAGGACAGGAATCAGGGCAAGGGTAATGGATTTACAAGTTATCCTTCTGGAGGAGACTGAGCCAGATTACAGAACCAGAATGGGTTGCTGGTCTTAAAGAGAATCCAGAGCAGACAGTGTTCCAGAGAGATGGTCCAGAAGGCAAGAGGCTGAGTTAGTGAGTTAAATGAGGGGCTCCCAGTTTTGGCCCTTAGAAAAATTACCAGTAAGGATATATCCCCTGACTTCCAATCTATATTCATCATTCTGAAGTCTAAGATATAAATTTCAATATACTTGTAATTCTCTTATCATTACCTTATTTGTGATAAGATTTAAAATCACACCTTTGAAATGCCTTTACAGATTAATCCCCTTTGGTTCACTTTGATTTCCATTGGCCTTCGTTCTTGTTAACCAGAGGGAAAGAAAGCATTCTTGATAAAATCACTTGGTATAACTGAAAGGTAATGAAAGTTTTTAAAATTGTGGTACTTTTAACAGTGATCTAAAAAAGGATGTGTATCATCATTTTAAAAAGGGGAAGATGGCAGAGTCCTCAGTTTCTTTTGGTAATAGGGTTGACTGCTAAGAAAGGGAACTGCCATAAATGTGGCTTCTGGATTTAAGCAATCATTAAGGAGACTGTCATGATAGCTTTCTAGACAAGAGTAAGAAGACTGTCATGCCTATAAGAGTGAATAGAATGTGAAGGCTCTGAAAAACCATGGATCTAATTGAGGGTATTTAACAAAGAAGATAGACAAAAACAGAAGATCTTTTCCAATGTGACACTGTTACACAGAGGGAAGATTAGACTTTGAATTGCAAAAAGCAAAATATGGTGAACCAGTGAAAATTATAGGAAGTACATTTTAGATGATTGTGAGGAAAATCTTTGAATAAGTAGTCCCAAACTGGAATAAACTGTCTTCTGAAACTCTTTCCCTATTCCTGAAAGTATTCATGCCTACTCTCCTTGGCTTATTCTTGGAGATGTTGAATATTGAATGTTTTTATCTTATTTCATGTTATCAGATTGGGCTAAGAGACCTTTATGAGCCTATGTAAGTCCAAATTCCATGAACCAGTGAGTGTTTGGTTTTAGCATGAGTATACTTGTTGGTAGAAAGAGCACAACTGAGGGCAGGAGTTTAATATGCCTCAGGGTCAGTCACCCTGAAAAAATATATTTAAGTTAAGGAAGCTTAGATTTATATGTAAAAGTGAAGCCGGACTGAAGGGGTCTGAGGCCCCCTGTCACTACTTGAGCCAAATTAAGCAGAGACAGGGTTGAATCATATGTGAGCGTTTATTCTGTTATTGCTGGCAAAAATGGGAGAGCAGTCAGTCACCCTGGAAGTTCTCTGAGCACCCCTTGCCATTTGGCTGATTTTATAGTAGTGAGGGAGAAGATAGCTACATGCAGCTGCAAGCTAGAAGTATAACAGAGAAAGGGGAGGGAGGTCTGCAGTCCGGCCTTCAGGAGCTCAAAGTCCTATAACCAGATGGCTAATTATAGTGTTACAACTCAGCAGGTTCCTGGGACCAAAGAGTGGTCAGCATTCCTGAGGTAAACTCCTAGAGGAGGTCAGGGTCTGGGCACAGCAACCAAATCAAAGTGTATCCTGTCCTTGGTCTTCCCTCAAAATGTATTTCTTTTCTGAGTAATGGACCCACTAAGGCATCTTATCTTTTTACAGCCTTGTTTCATCCTCCAGTTTTTTATCTATAGATAGCAAGGTGAATAATTATTAAACAACTGTGGCTTTACTCTTATTAGGTGCTCTTCCCCATTATCAAAAGGTACAAGGGATTTAGATGACTGACATAGTGTGTCTTGTTCCCCAGTATCAGCCTGCTGTCACCTAACTTTCCCACTAATGTTTTTGAAGTAGAAAGTGCCTAATCCCCCCCCCAATTTATTTAGAGCCCTTGTTTATTGAGATATTATTTAAACTAATACTGCATTTTATACCTTATCGTATTCATATTCATAGTCAGTTGCATATGTATATAATTTTTGCAGTTATTTTCCACTTTGCTGTACACACAGCAAATCCACTCTTCTTTACTCACTCTCAACCTGTAAACTAGCTGAGTCCAAGTCATTTTTTTTTTTATTCTTTTGGATCTATCACACCATAAGCT